TCTCTTCCCAGGTCCGGACAAAGTCAAGAACCTTTGACAGTGTCAGTCACCTGATCAACTACCACCGAGACAATGAGCTGCCCATAGTATCGGCAGAGTCAGCCCTTGTCTTGCGCAATCCTGTGTTAAGACGTATACGTTAGCACTCAAGAGCAAAATATATATATATATATATGTGTGTATTTATATATATATATATATATATATATATATATATATATATATATATATATATATATATATATATATATATATATATATATATTTATATTTATGTATATATATATATATCAAGACATTTTTCAGCCACAGAGAAACAGTGATAGTGCACATATGTTATAAAAGAAGCGTGTCATGCAGCAGTTTGCAAGCTGAGCCGAGTTATTATTATTATTTTTTTTGGGGGGGGGAGGAAGCCTGGTTTGCAGCGGCTGTGCGACCCACGCAACAACAGTCTCAACTTTGGGTCATCATCATCATCTGCAAGGCTTTTCATTTTTTTTTTTATGTATATTTGCACATACAAACATAAATTAAGATTTATTTCTTTTGATTGTTATTGTTTATGTGTGCAATTAAATTTATTCCTGTTTTTAATGATATACTGAAAAGATATAAAGTTTTGTGAATTCCCTCAGTGTAATCAGGCAAGTTGTTCTAAATAGCATTTGCAAAAGCTCGTGGACTAAGTATTCGTTTTTGTGCAACTGGGTACTTGATGTAAGCTATATTGGGTATATCTAGAAGAAACAGGATGTCATTTAGAAATATTGTACAAGCGTATGCTTTTGATATTGAAAGATGGAAATATAAGGGCTTTGGAAGTGCTCTCTGTCACCTCAGTCGATGAGTGAGAGAGAGATACTTGCAGCCAGAAAATGCTCACAATGAAATAGAAATCCCGGCATTTCTAGTTGGTATACCCAGTGTTTGGTTAAATTGGTTATCTCCCGGGCAACTTATCATAGCTGTTTACACCCTTGATTTTTCACTTTTTTCACCTGTTTGTGTTCAAAGAATATCACTAATTTCATGCTGAATATATTTCTTGAATATTGTAAAAACAAAAAGCAACAAAAAAATAAGTATATAACATTTTAAATGGGACACTTATTTTTCTAATGTCCAATTTTTACATTACTTATTCTAATGTAGTCCTTTTATAAAAAAAAAAAAAAAAAAATTCAGGTGTTTATTCATTGCACAATTGCACAAAGTCTCCCCATAGAAAGGAAATCAGGACCTATTAGTTCTTGGATGTAATTACAAAAGGCATGTGTTGGGTGCTTTCAAACTGTTGTGAATTTGTCTTTTTTCTCTTTTTTTTTTCAAGGGGAAGAAGAGAGTTTGGTAAACTTCAGCATATGGTAATATTGATTCAGAATGTCACTAGGCATCTATTTTTTTTCTCAGTGAAATAGAAAAAAAAAAAAAATTAAAGTTAATATCTGTATGAGAAAAAGAATAACATGAAGTGCACATGAGGGTGGAATCCCTTGTTAGTCATTTGATTTAAAAGTTTGAGCACTTGATATAGGCCTAGATTAAATATATGATTAGCCGATTGATTAGACTGTCTTCTCTCCTTGTTTAACAGGAGTCTTGATGATTCCACATGGATTTTATCATCTTTTTATGTTTTTTTTATTGTTTTTTTTTATTTTTTATATATAGGTGGCTAACTAGTCAGAATTTGCCATCATGAAAAATGTTTTATTCTGAATTTTTATGTGTACAGTAATATATACCTTTAAGATAAGTATCTTCACATTTCAGTCTCCTAATTATTAGGCCAAAATGCAATAATAGAATGGTAATATATACCCATTGTTACAGGACAGTCATCAGTCTCACATTGTCTGGAACTTCGAGCTGTCATTCAGCCCAAACATGTGGTGGGATTCCTTGATTCCAAACATTACTTTTTCTCGGCCATGGATGGGGCTCCAGGCTCTCATAATTTTTTTCTTGAATTTTTTTTTTTTTTTTTTTTTTTTTAGAAATTCTCTTCATTTGTTTGTTGATGTCATTGCAGTAGTCAGTACCATTACCACTGCAGAATTTGCAGAATAGTTGCTACTTGATGTCAAGGTGACTTGAACATGTGATTTCTACATTTGAAAAATTTATACAATTTTGAAGTCTTGTCCGTTAAAAACTAGCCTCTGAACACTTTAAATATGTTATCATGTGCTTAGCCATATGATTTTTTTTTTTCTTTCTTTCATTTTTAATCCCCACATTGGTTCCTGAAGAATGCGAGATAGATACTGAGCACAATAGACCCTCCAAGTCTTTCCCTAAAGCCTTGCATTCTTGTGCCCTCCCATCACTTGTGCCTCGAACGGTTCCCGAGCTGTATAACGGATGAATCTGTTTGGTGCTTGGCCCATGGGTCTGACAACTCACTTTTATATATGCTCAAAATGTATTAATACAAATCCCATTCATTCAACTTTCTGGTAAAAAAAAGAAGAAAAAAAGAAAATGAAAATTTAATATGTAACACTGTTAATAGCTGAAGTTACAGCTGGAGATAATGTTGTCCATTAAATTACATGAGAATGAGGAGGGTTAGCAGGTTGATTGTTAGAGTTTGTTTTATTTATTTATTTATTTTTTTTTTGTCAGTAGATACCTAAAATAGATAAAATCTTGCCAGGTACACTTTGGCAGATGGAGTGAAAAAAAATCTGAAAATAACTGCAGATCTAAGCATTAAAATATTTTTACAGTAACCTACATTCTCCCATTTAATCAGTACAAAATACTGTTTCCTCAGGCCTGGAATAGTTCATCTCTTTGGTTCTGTAAAAAATAAAAAAAATATATATGTGTACATATAAACAGATGAAGCACACTCACAAAAAATGCAGATACATCTATATAAGAATGAATAGAGGCCCACCTTTTCCCTGTTGTAAAAGGCAGAAGAATGCATTGATTCAATTAGTTTCATATACCCAAAAGTCTCTTTCTTCATAGAAGGAGAGAGGGTTTGAAATGGACTTAGGTAAGAATTTATTTGAAAACTGCTCCATAAATTTGTAAATATTAATAGGACACTTGCATATTGAAAAAAAAAAAAAAAAATTATGTGAGGGAACACTAATTGTATACATAATTGCTGAGGTGATGGGGGAGGCAAAAATATTTACATTGTCATTTAAAAAGAAAACCATAAGAGTTAGGGAATCATCGCTAATAGGTAGTGGATCCTAGATTACAGGTAGTTATTAATGATGTGTTGATAACCAGTAGCTTTCCTCAGACATGATCAATGCAGGTAGCTTTAAACTTTCCACATTCCTTGCAAGACACGTAACACTATTTTTTTTTCTAAATAGCAGCTTTATGGAACCAAAGTCCTATTATTTCATAATTTTTAGAAAGCTTGGTTTTTGCATACAAGAAGAATGGGATCTCAATAACTCCTTAAATGACCTGCCAAGTGAGAGAGAGTTTCATCTCCGTCATGAAGAGGTTACTGACCAGAAGGCATTTGTAAAGGAGGAGAATGCAGGAAGAGGAGTTGAATGTAATTGCACGAACAAATGCATACAAGAAGAATGGGATCTCAATAACTCCTTAAATGACCTGCCAAGTGAGAGAGAGTTTCATCTCCGTCATGAAGAGGTTACTGACCAGAAGGCATTTGTAAAGGAGGAGAATGCAGGAAGAGGAGTTGAATGTAATTGCACGAACAAAAACAATTTGGAAGTTGTTCACCTTGGCAAAGAAGGAAAGACTTGAGAAATTTTCTTAGACCCCAAATATTTATTTATAACAACACTGTAGAAGTACAAGAGCCCAAGAATCTTGTGTTCTGAGATGCACTCACTGTTGAAGGAGCAATATACAGTTTAATTCCCTCTAACTTTGGTTGACCATTACTTAATGATATTTATCATTATTAATAGTGCAACATTTGTTATTAAGTCCTCCCTTATTCCTTGTGTATATCAGATGTCTTGTGTTTGTGTTCAGACAGTCCATATAAAGAGCAATAGGTTTATTGTAACCCAACTAGCTAACTGTAAACCAAAGAAGTAATGTAGGGACTGGGAATATATGGGTAACTAATCCATTTCACATTTTAATATCTGTAAGAAGCTACTGAAGCTCTATTTTTCAACAAATATTTTTGCTACATGAAATGACTGTGTCATTAATGACAAACTTGCCTTGTAGTTTTTAGAAGTGACATGTCCTCATTTAGTTCTTTGTATTATATATTGTATTATACTGTAATTCAGTCAATATTAAGATTACATTCAATTGTACATATGATCATGGTATTTTAATGTTGTGTGTGCCAAAATATGACATTTGTTACTTATCTATTGGCTATTGATAATCAAAATGTCTCTTTATATTAGTTACTTGTGACTTGGCTGACTTTGAAAATAATATATAAATTGAAATGTGTGAATGAATATAAATCACTGTAACTTTGTATTAATTACTGAATAAAATATCATATATAAATGATTATCTTCTCCCCACAACCTATTGTCACACACAGCAAGACATTACAGACAGAACAGAGAGACAGACGGACAGAGAGACAGACAGAGACCGTCAATGTATCAATACTGATTTTTATTGAAGCTTTTTAAATTTGTACTTAAAGAATTTCTGTTTTTTAAACTTTAATTCCTGCTAGTTATCATTCTTTTGGACAAAATGTATTTTCTAATTAATTTTGATATGATGAAGATGTGTCCTTTACCTAAATAATCAACTGTAAATAGACTGGAAAATGTGATTTCCATTACATTTTAATTTCTTGCCTCAAAAAACGTTCTCGTTTGTGGTTTTCATTGATGTTTCTTCTATAAGTTCGACAACCATTGCGCATGGATGGGAGACAGGTAAGGAACTGCTTTATGACATCAAAGGTCATATGGCGCTATGATAAAGTATTGTAGCGAAAAGGGTTAGGAATGAGTTAATGATTAGGTAAAGTTATAATTTGAACATTACTTTAACCCATTGCCGCCGGGGAAAATGAACAAAAAATGGGGGAAATGCAGTACTCATTTTTTATATGTTTGATTTACATAATCTATACTTACTGAACTTACTGTAGCCTAACTCCTAGGATCAAAGACGGTTATGAGTATACATATACAGACGAATAAAATAGATAAAAAGCATCATCTTCCAGTGAAAAGTATTGTAGTGAAAAGGGTAGAGAGGGTGCTGACGGGGCATAGCATAAGCTTAAGGTTGTTAGAACAGGAACGAATTAACCCAACCGCGTCAGATTTATGTTCTGTCCCCTGTATTTTTTTTGTGAATGTTATTACATACAACTGGCCTCACATGTACTCCACCAGCAAGGAGTCTAACAGTAGGCCCCAGTGACCGATCTTGATTTTCACATTCCTTGAATTGGCCGGAAAGTATTTTTCCTTTAAATACAATTGATGTCAATAGTTGTTATTGTTATTGATGTTATGATTATTAAGTTAGTTAAAATCTTGGTAACATATATAAGAAAGAAATAGTACAAAAGAACCTTTCTAAAAGTCAGGATAAAGGGTAAACAGGTGAGATAGGCAGATATATTAACCGACTCCTTAGTGACTAGGCAATTGTAGAGCCATCTGTGTAAATCCAATAAACAAACTTATGACAGTGGGCATGGCATGTTTTCTTGCCATACGTGACGATTGGATTAAGGGAGTAGGGAGCATTATGATAAAGTTTTGTGGCGAAAGTGCAAAAATGAGCAACGATTAGGATAAGTGGACAGAACAAGGGTATGAAAAAAAAGAGAAAGGAAAGGGGGAGAAGAAAAAAACACGCAAAATTAGTTGGGGCGAGGGCTGAGGACCAAGGTAGGGATCATCCCCAACATTGCACATTGTCAGAAAGGATACATTGTCACAGCTGCAGCACATACGAAGTTTTGGACAACTTTACATGACAAGGCACTTTCGTATTCAGAATGCTCCAAAGGGGCGAGGGTGATTATTTAGCATTTCTGATGCATCTTCATACATTTTAAAATCAAACACGTCGTATGTGCTGTAAACATGGTATAAGCACAAACTAAGAGATCCAGGCTCATAGCTTCAGAAAGAAAAAATATACAAAAATACTTAAACTTACAGGGGATTATACAACAATATCTTTCAAGCATGAAAAGAAAATAATATCAATGCTGTATCTTGAATTCTATTACACATTTCAACCCACTTCGAACCCAGCAGCATGGTAGATTATGAAATTTATAATCCAACACATCTTCAACATTATCTAAAAGAGACAAACATGGTAGGGACTGATTTAACTATAGTTCATATGAAGGGGAGAAACTAGAATCATAAAAAGTTTGTGCCTTTGGACTGTTGGTTTTGATTTGGAATACTAATGATGCTACTCTTGTCACATGGCGATGCCCCACTAATACGGATTATGGCCTTTGATCCCTGCCTGTTGTGTTGAAGGTGTTGTCATAGCGTTTGGATTGAAACTTAAATTTAGCTTTCCTCACACAATTTAAGAGAGGGGAGCTGACGGGGTATAGCATAAGGTTAAGGTTGTTAGAACAGGAACGAATTAACCCAATCGCGTCGGATTTATGTTCTGTCCCCTGTATTTTTTTGTGAATGTTATTACATACAACTGGCCTCACATGTACTCCACCAGCAAGGAGTCTAACAGCAGGCCCCCGTGACCGATCTTGATTTTCACATTCCTTGAATTGGCCGGAAAGTATTTTTCCTTTAAATACAATTGATGTCAATAGTTGTTATTGTTATTGATGTTATGATTATTAAGTTAGTTAAAATCTTGGTAACATATATAAGAAAGAAATAGTACAAAAGAACCTTTCTAAAAGTCAGGATAAAGGGTAAACAGGTGAGATAGGCAGAATTATTAACCGACTCCTTAGTGACTAGGCAATTGTAAAGCCATCTGTGTAAATCCAATAAACAAACTTATGACAGTGGGCATGGCATGTATTCTTGCCATACGTGACGATTGGATTAAGGGAGTAGGGAGCATTATGATAAAGTTTTGTGGCGAAAGTGCAAAAATGAGCAACGATTAGGATAAGTGGACAGAACAAGGGTATGAAAAAAAAGAGAAAGGAAAGGGGGAGAAGAAAAAAACACGCAAAATTAGTTGGGGCGAGGGCTGAGGACCAAGGTAGGGATCATCCCCAACATTGCACATTGTCAGAAGGATACATTGTCACAGCTGCAGCACATACGAAGTTTTGGACAACTTTACATGACAAGGCACTTTCGTATTCAGAATGCTCCAAAGGGGCGAGGGTGATTATTTAGCATTTCTGATGCATCTTCATACATTTTAAAATCAAACACGTCGTATGTGCTGTAAACATGGTATAAGCACAAACTAAGAGATCCAGGCTCATAGCTTCAGAAAGAAAAAAATATACAAAAATACTTATAAACTTACAGGGGATTATACAACAATATCTTTCAAGCATGAAAAAAAGAAAATATCAATGCTGTATCTTGAATTCTATTACACATTTCAACTCACTTCGAACCCAGCAGCATGGTAGATTATGAAATTTATAATCCAACACATTTTCAACATTATCTAAAAGAGACAAACATGGTAGGGACTGATTTAACTATAGTTCATATGAAGGGGAGAAACTAGAATCATAAAAAGTTTGTGCCTTTGGACTGTTGGTTTTGATTTGGAATACTAATGATGCTACTCTTGTCAACATGGCGATGCCCCACTAATACGGATTATGGCCTTTGATCCTGCCTGTTGTGTTGAAGGTGTTGTCATAGCGTTTGGATTGAAACTTAAATTAGCTTTTCCTCAATTTAGCTACACGTGACTTGCTGCCATTCAATATTTGTTAGATCCATGTACTTTGAAGTGATGGCTGTTTTAGTCCAAAATAAATGGGTATGCACTTTAACATTTACATAATCTATGCTTACAGAACTAACTGTAGCCTAATCAAAGACCGGTATGAGTATATACATACAGACGAATAGCTGGAGATACAAAGCGTCTTCTTCCATCAACCCACTCAGGTTAAAAAAAAATATATATATACATTTATAAGATTTAATATTTATTATCAAAATAAAAATTTAAAACTTAACAGATAAATGTCAACAATTTATCATTCATAGAAAAATCCTTTAGTATTGAATCTGAAGGTCATAATTGTGTCTGGATTCTTACAAGAAACCCAAACCAGAGGTCTGTTTTTGGCTTCCATCTTCTGCAGGTCAACAGGACTATTGCACACCGAAATTTGTTGGTAAAGCCGGAAACCCTGAAAAGAAAGAAAGAAAGAAAAAAAACATTTAGCATACACTTAAAGACAACTATTGCCGATTCATCTGAAATCATGAACTGGGCATTGGGCACTGGGCATTGGGCACTGGGAACTGTACTAACTTCAGAGAATATGTATTCATAAACGTCCAGTGTGCGTGTTTGCTCCGAGAGAAGCAACAAGTACAGGTCATCTCCAATTCGCATCTCTTCCTGCGCAACGACCCCGTATGAAGCTAGAGATTCGTATGGCTTGAACTTGGACGTATGTTCGTCGAATCTGAATACCTGTATAATACATATTACAATGAAAAAAGCAACACACAAATGGATGCGGATATATATCCATATTAGTAAAAAGTTGTTATACGTATGTCAAGATGAACGGAAACCTTGAAACTAACCAGAACTTTTGTTGTATATTTCACATTATCTTCAAAGGAAGAAAAGTCAGCAGCCTTTAACTGAGCTAAAGTGAAGAAGTGTTCCTGTACTGGGTAACTCGAACTCAGGAATATTGCTGACGTCACGTGATCTCCCATGTACTCTCCTTGCACTAAGAACTACAAAAATACCATCAGTTTGTATGAGTAAGTTAGTGAACCAAATACCTTTTCATACAGCAAGAACTACTAGCATGCAATGTAAAATACAGAAAGTAATACAACACAAACGTATTAAAAAACACACCTTTTCCTCAGACGGGAACCAACCATATACAAGCGACTTTGCAGTATAAGGATCACTAGTGCTATTCCCTGTCGCAGTATTTGCTACCAACATGTACCATCGATCATTGACCTAAAAGAAAAGGATAATTTTATATAAACATACAATTTTCGTCGAAACAAAGTCACGTGAAAATATCATGAAACTGTCATGGACGAATACCTTTGCCATGTCTACTGTCGAGGCACTGCTGTGTGTGTGTGTTGACCAAACCTTGACTAACTGGTTTTCCTCTAGCCGTAGTGCCGTGACCAGCGTTGTCTCCGTTGAATCTGTCACTGTTTAAAAGTGTTTACATTTTACATACGATATAGGCGTATAGTTATATTTTGCCTACACTGTTACGCAACAAGCCACTTTTTTTCCCCTTACATATGAATTAGCTTTATAATGAAATAAATGTCATTAAGATTTAGATATGCGTACATTTTAACACATACCACAAGCCTCATTCACACTTGACAAACCATGACCATATTACTTGCGATACTTCTATTATTTTTTGTTTTCCCAAGTCCTACTCACCATCAGCCATGCGACCGACAGTGACGAAATACGTCTGAATTACTCCATTATCCTCTGACGTAAAGGACGCAACGTCAGCGACCAAGCCCAATGTGTCATCCGTGATAACTTGTGTATCATTGTTCTTTATTTTGAATGTGCTGAACCCTATTTGGCCAAAACATCTGCAAAAAGCAATGAATTCCATGTTGTATTCGACAAACCTGAAAAAAATCTGCTACAGTTAAATCCCTTTTATATTTTATATCCGATACCTCATACACTGAAAAGTCAAAATGCATACCCATGCTCAAGCCTTGTCCCTTTGTGATTACTGCTTTTGAAGACGAATACAGAGTGATCACTGATGGTAACATTATGCTGCAGGCTCCCGTCATCTGCAACCTGTGTTAATAATTGCTTTAACTGTGGGTATCGATTTCCAAGGGCAGGGGTTTCAAGCTCAGAACCCTTTGCGCCAATTTTCATTTCAGCTTCTGTTTAGAGGGCCAACAAAGGGCATACATGGCTCGCCAAGATTATGTTATTAAAACCGTTTCAATATTGCGAAACTGCCCGTAAAGTTAGGTTTACTTATAAAACTTTAGATCAGGGGTTCCCATCCTGGGGTACATGAATCCCCAGTGTTACTTTTGCACTTTTCAGGGGATACATTGGGCCTGAGAGAACCTCTACTGCACAATACATGCTGTTGGAATCTACATTCAGACTGCATATTCTTTTTATATTTTCCTCATTTTAGTGAACAAAGCTTTTACTTAAGTTGTAGCGACAGTAGGATGAGTACCATTGTTGGTTTTTCACTATTTTGAGACTTTCCGCGTGTATGTGACGGATCAAAATATTTCATAAATTACCAGAGTTTAGTTTATTGACGTTATCACCACCAATATTCATATACAGTCTACACATACAGATTCCATAATAAATATAATTGCATCGTCTTTTTCCCCTTAATCTTTAGGGGTAAACGGGAATCAATAAAAAATACCTAGGAGTACAGAGAAACAAAAAGGTTGGGAACCCCTGTTTTAGATGGTGACAATAACAACCAAATGTATATCACATTTTCCTCGTGGCAATTATAATTCCACAGGCTAATTCTTCTTCTTGTCACTCCGTGGCCCATCCCGAGGGCCACGAGGTTGACACCGCTCTTCTAGGATAATGACAGTAAAGTTTTTTTTTTTATCAAAAATGACTGAAAAGATCAATATTAACCTGCAAAACTTAAATAATCTATCCTTACCTGGTACACCGCAGATCTTGCATTGCATGTACAGACCAGGCCACAGTCCCTTACTGCTACAATATAATTATCTCCCCACTGTCCATGAGTTAACTTCCCTGCAAATTCAACGAGTTGTTTCCCAACGTTCTCTCCGTAAGACATTTTCTCGTACAAACCTGAAAAAAGAATCGTGCTTATCATACATGCCCACAATGCATCAATTACTAATGAGGTACACGTGGATCAACTTACCACATGTCAGACGATCATTGTCATTTTGGACGTTCGTGAATCTGGTGCTCAGGTCGGTCATCTTTTCACTTTGGGCCTTGATGTAGGACATGATGTTCGAGACCTCGTAATCAAGGTCATGAAGCCCCAGGCCGTTGACCGTTCCTTGTACAGTAACCGAAGCTTCTGATTCTACCAAGTTCTCGATAACCTAGAAAGGAGGTTTTCTCATCCACAATGATAAAGGCAAATGGACATTATTCTAAACCATCTGCAGTACTTCTTGAAATGAGACCGAGACACAACTGGACTTACCAGACTTTGTCCAAATGTAGCAGGTCTGTCCTTCCAAACAACCGTTCTGTTCAGTTCCATCATATCCACGCCATTCATCTGCATCAAATCAATGTTTCCATTTACAAGCAGGCCTCCACTTAACTCCTTCACACCGGTGATATGTTGTTGAGATTTACCCGATTTTACCACAACATCAGAGAGTGTAACGGTGTTGATCTCTTCTACTTCGAGGTCACCTGTGTCAAATATTCAGGAATTGAGCAATACTAGGAACCTCTTTTCAATACCTGCTTTAGAATAGAAGTGCAAAACAGGAAGCGCAGGACTTAATTTTGTAATAGATATGGATGTCCATTGTGAACTGTATCCAATGTTACTTGAAATGAACTTGGACAAACCTTTCACTTCAATTTCTTCGAATATGCAGTGTGAAGTCAACGTTTCGTTGCCATCTAGAGTGACACGATCTTCCAGCAACTGCTTTAGATCTATTCCGTCTAAGTGTCCGCCCACCTATATCAATGCAAACACCTTTAAAATATTAATTTTCTACAGAGTTTACATTAAATTGATAAAAATAGGAGCGATAGATATTTTTTGAAGCTTTGCTGGCAACCTACCGTCAGATTTCCAGTGACACTAAAGGGGGCAGTGAAGGTAATGCCACTGGGCACTTCCCCATCCCTGGAGAGCACAATTAGATCGCTTGCCAAGACGTCACCAAGTGATTCTGTGGGACATCTTTATTCAAACATTTTATTTCATCATGTAGAAAAATACACGAAAAATACAAGACCTTCCTAAACACAGTAATATCAGCAACTTTGTACATTTCGGGGTCTAAGTGCACTAAGCAAATTAAAGCAAAGTTTGCTTGATGTACATGGATACGAGCTATTTCACTTAATGCAACAGTATATAGAATCTCAACATCAATACTATATCTAATAGCATCAGAACTTATGCTCTATTTGGGACATTTTAGGGAAGAAACTACCCACCGTGTGCTATAAAATACAGTAACTGATCCCATAACCAGAGCCAATCTACTATTCCTACCAGAAATGTGGAGGTTTCCAGCAGCAAACCCATCAACGAAGATCTTAGGGCCGTCGATGAAAAAGGAATCACTCGTCGTTAACACTGCTCGACTGCCAAGAGCAGATATATTCAGGGAATTGACCAGCACTCCATCAGAATCAAGACGAGATATGGAACTGCTGATTGTCAGATTCCGCACCGAAACTTCATTGGTAAAATGGAGATCGCAGCTAATGACCTGGAATATAGATAGGAAAACTAGGGTCTTTTTAAGTGAGAATGTGTATTAAACTGTGCTTTTATACTGAGATACTAACCGTATTCTGATTATCCTGTACAGCTATTTCATAAAGTTCGTCCACATAAACTCCATCTATAGTTTCTGCCCAAAGATCATTTATTTGCACATCACCAGAGAAAGTTGTATTTCCTGCAAACAGGTCAAATATGTATTTATGACAATTTTAATTCTTGCAATCGAACCATAAGCAAAAAGTGCATTTAGTGTGAACAGCTGGTACTTGCAATTATGGTATTTGTTTACATGTTATGTTGCATCTGAGGCTACAATATCACAAACAAAGATTTGAAGTTTTGAAGGTTATACGGACAGAACTACTGCTGAAAATCAATACCTGATTCCTGGGTTCATATTTGGGATTTTAGCATCGTAAATGGTCTGTTCTAAGAAAAACTAATCTCTCACGCTCTGTAAAGCTATCTACTTACCCGTTATATCTTGATCGGAGGACTTCCGGACCAAAGTCTCAAGGAAGCGCTGGACATTAATCTCGGAGGCTCCAGCCAGGATACTATCCGCTATAACATTCTCCTTTACTACAAGTTTATGCAGATTGACGGGCGAAAATATGTCAACTTCCCCACCACTTTTATTCCAGGAAGCAGACTGCTCGAGCTGTCAAAATCATCGTGGCTTTTTATTTGCAAGATTCCAAATAAAAAAAATAAAATTCGTACAAAAACATTCTTATATTTCATTGTCAAAAATAACATGCATAATTACACACTCCTAGAATATCGCAGCCATCAAGTAAGCCTGTGCCGGACATAACACTGCTCATGACGACATTCTCTTCAAAGACAATCGTTCCTTCCAAAAATCCATTCTGATCCAACAACAAAAGGTCACTGGTATGCACTTCGTCAATAACCGGGGCATCGATGTTTGCTGCAAGAAAGAGGTGCTATACACTATTTCGTTTCTCTCTTTTCTGAAGATCTTCAATCCAAATATATTTGACATGACATAAAATATCCAACTAAGGCAGATCATGTGTCTAGGGTTACGAAGACCCATTACATACTAGCTGTAATATTGGAGCTGAATGTGTAGTTGCCGGTGATACTCTGGTTACCACTTTTGGTCAAGATTCTGGGTGCAAGTTCGGCCAAATTAATTCCGTTGACAGTGGTAGGGTTGAAATCCCCAAGGACAAACACAGGTTGATCTATTCTTTTCGTTCCACTGATTGCTCCATCATAGTTCAGTGGTATTACCTATAAATTGAGAATTTGTACCATTTAGAGAGCCACTAGGCAACCTCAAACTCATGCACAGTATATTCTTCCTTGTGCACGAGTAATAAAAAAAAATGTATGAATAACCATCTTGTTTACCTTGCTTAAGTGATCTGACCAGCTCTTGTTGTTCACTTCTTGCAGATTTGGTACATAGTTAAAGTGAACTGCCCCATCTACGGTGATCTTTCCCTCCACCAACTGTGGCTGCAATGCCTCTTTCTTCAGACTGCGGGTTGCAAGGTCGCCAACATCAACTCCATCGACCGTACCAGTGACGTGGAGTTGGTCCACTACCATAGTTGAAAATATTTACTCAAAACATTATACTTCCTGATTTGTTTGTAGATTATACTATACTAGGTCTTATAGATGTCAACTGTTTATTTCACAGGAGAAATAAGTTGCTGTTTACTATCCATTAATTCAACAAGATACTCGAACTATAAAACTATAAATTTGCTCATCTTAAAGTTATTCCCATCTCACCTTTATTACATAAACCACGTCAGGAGTACGTACCTGTGACTGTTCCTCCAAAGTCAAGCGGCCCAGAAATGGTGGCGCTCTCGTTTGCCAGCACGATGTCGGTCGCAGCTTCCTCCAAATCTAACCCATTCAGACTCTCCAGCAGCAGGTTAGTGCTGGACAGAGTCACTGATTCCGCTGCTATTTTCTCCGTGAAGGTGAGTGTGTCTTTCATGCAAATGGAGGAGAGAAAGGGAGAAATCAGGGAACATACAAGATTAACTTTCTACATATATTTCAGTCTGAAATATATGTAGAAAGGATGCAACTTACCTGTGTGAGGCACAGTATAATCTAACATCAGCAGGTCTGAGGTGACATTCCAACCGTTCAGTTTCCCGCTGATGGACAAGTCGCCATCAACTGTCAATTTTCCATCAATTCTCTGAAAATGTTTAAATGAAAAAAGTCGTGCAATCTATATATGGAAACTACAACTGATCAAATAGAACCGAGAAATATATAACAATTTATCAAATGGAACCAAGAAGTATATATAGAAAAAGTTACTTACCACTTCCCCTTCTATAAACTGATCGCTTGTCAAGTCAACAACCTCCCTCTCCAAAACCGATACATCCACACCATCAATAGTTTTGTTATCAACCATTTCCAAATCACCCTTTACTGATACTGGAGCCTGTTTGGGTGTACATGATGTAAAACTTAACGTGAGAAATAGAGGCACAGAATAATAATCGTAATATGCATAATTCACACGATAGATAAGGAGCGTGCTTCTAAAGCATCATCATTAACCAGAATAGATTGTCACCTGGAAAACATAGGATCCAGTAATGGTCTGCGGACCGTGTGTATTCAGGTAGTTTGTCATTTGCTGCTGGTTCAGCCTTGTTCCATTCACGGTGTCTCTAGAAAGTAGTGCACCGATTATTCACTATAAATAACAGTCTCGGACTAAAATTTATCACATTTACACAAATTTCTGGCACTCTTAGTTCCAGTGTTTACCTTTTTCAAAGAGACTACATGATTCAATATTACTACTTTGTTCCAATAATTATATACAATCTTGGTATCTCTACCAATGGAAGCACACCAACAGCCGGAGCAAGAAACAATTATTAAAGAAAGCGAGAATCTTGTTCAGTGCCCGTGACCACTATGAATAGCGGTCTGAATGCAGTCCCATTGTGAAATTTTATCATCAACTTCAAAATTTACAGTTTTCCCCTCGTTGACATTCAAGTGTATTTTATAGGCATACTTAGAGTGCCTTTTAATCAAGGATCTGCAGTCACACAAAAGGCCTCATAATCAGATCTTCTACAACAAGAACAAAAAAATGTAAATTTGTATCATTCGATGTAGTACTCCAGAGACTAAGAGGTAATAGTGATTTGGATTAAATTCCTGCATCTTCAGAGTGAAGCTGTTGCGCCTGTCTTTTGAAGACATTGATAATATAAATGAAGATTGATAATATAAATGAAGATTGATAATATAAATGAAGATTCACGAAATTTATGTTAATTTGCATTTCTTAATCCATCGGCCACTGGTACGTTCAACGCCCATTGTTAATTTTGTTTGCGCAATGAGAGCTCCCACAAGTACTTAGCCATTAAAGGGTCATAGGCCCTACGGACCCCACAGGAATTCCTCAATGTGTTTTTTTGGGAAGTCTCTTTTATAATGCCGTTAATGCTCATTTTGTTTTGATTATTGGCATTGTGATCATAATGTTATTACCATAACAGCAGTAATGAAGAATAAAAAAAATCTGAAAACTAAAGAAAAGGTGAAACAGGGCTAGAAACAGACTACTTGGTGGCTGAGCAATTGTGGAGCTACCTCTATGTACACAATCATCATACGAAAAGCTATGGAAATGACATTCAATGAACATTTATCTACTGTGATGGGTTGGTATGATCACCGATTTTGTCTTCACTTTTTCGCAGACAAACCTGTAATGCTGCCTGAGCTGAGAGCAAGACTAGAATCTATTAATGGATGGTTGATGATGTACATTTCCCTACATAGATCTAGATTCCATTAAAAAAAATGTGTGCGTGAGCGCGTGTGCACTCACTCACTCACTCACTCACTCACTCACTCACTCACTCACTCACTCACTCACTCACTCACTCACTCACTCACTCACTCACTCACTGACTGACTGACTGACTGACTGACTCACATCCTAAGGCGCTCTTCTCCGTGGCACTAAATTGGCATTATTTTCATTGCCTATGTACCTTTGTGCTAAAAGCTAAATGTTTAACTAATTTTGTGTATAGGCTATACGTTATAGTGCTAAGTTTCTATGACTATTTAGTTTAATTTGATGACAAGTCCCATTAACTGTGATAGGCTACATCCTGATTCTAGGGCGAATACTTTAAGTCTAGTGTTTTGTGCAAGGAATAAAATTATATCAAATGTCGATACTGGTACGAGAAAGGATACATTTTCTTTTACTTATTATTTAGTAACTATCAATGTTTTCTGCTCCATCACTTGTAAAGGCCACATTTCAACATCAAAGTTCGTCTGAAGGTTATATCCACATTGAAAGCATCAAAACTTTCTTCATTCTACAGGATTTGATTTTACACCTATCGCTTGTATATAAGCATCATTATCAAAGCTAAATTTTGCCCTCTTTTTTTCTACAGACATTTTTAGATATTACTCAACGCAGACGACTCACCGGAAAGTGGCGTTTTTCAAGGAAGGCGATACTGTGATCACTTGATCCGTACTCTTCCTCCAATATCGGCTGTCAACGCCATCCATTGTAAGGTTATTTATGGTGCGTGCTGTCACATTTCCTGTTACCTGGAAGTTCACTCTTATTACTCAACTTCTACAAAAAAGAGCTTGCATACTATCAGTTTACAATTGCTACTTTGGACTTCTGTAGAAGAAAAAAACAAACAAACTAAATGGTATCTATATATACTCGGCCTTCCCTTACATGGATATCGTGGTTATTAGGCGTGTCCTAAATAGATATACTTGACTGTACACAGTATTTTACTTAGCCACAATGCCCACAGTATTTGGGAAAATCTCTCTTGAAAGGAACAATCAGAACGCAACAGAGTTGCACGCAGCCCTGCACTCAATGCCAGGCTGGAGTCAGGCTTGCCTGTACCAAAGCACCCCATTATGTATTGGCTAAACAAGATACAGCAATGTTACAGCTGTAGTATCATTAGTAGGTATATCAGGCCAGTGGTTTGTGCACTAAAAATGTAAGAAAAACTAACATTCGTCATAAAGCAAGCGGTATACAGCTGGAAGAAGTTAGTCACGATGTTACAGGAAAAAAAAACTCGCAGGGAAAGCGTTAATGGATAGGTACTGCTACATTGTCACAAAAAAATGTTCATCAGCAATTGTTGCAATCTGACAGCTTTCCCTAATGCAGGATGAATATGTGCCATATTGCGTCTGTGCGAACTCACCTGGAGAGGAACAGTCAGGTTGACAGCATCACTAATTACAAAGCTGTCCATGTATTCCATCGCTTTCAGGGAGGAGGGGTCGACCAGGTTGATTATAGCTCCTTCCGCCATGAGGACGCCTTCGCCACCCGTCACTCGCACGCTGTCATTAAATGTTATGCGACCTGGCATGTGCAAACAAAACTGTTACATGTTATTTTTGTGTATACCGTATATATGGAAGAAGTGGTACCTCTGGTTTGTTCTTTATAGCAACTGTGCACTCCCATTCTTAACCCATTCCCGCCGGGCATGCCATGCCATGGCCACTGTGAGATTACTTGTCAGATTGTTTTCACACATAGATGGCTACACTTGTACTAAATCACCAATGAGCCAGTTACGAGTACCGCCTGTCTCGCCCGTTCACCCTTTTCTTTGATTTACGAAATATTTTACGGTATCTTATTTTGCTATTACTAATGTTAAAAAACATTATAAAAATTACAATGTTTATGATAAAAATAACACCATCGATATTCATGGCACTAGTGAAAAATACGTGTTTCAAATCAGGCGCTAACAGAGCCATCTATGGGCAAACATTTAACAAAAAAGTATAGAAAATAGGCACAGCATTTTCCCCATTTTTTGTTCATTTTCCCCGGCGGCAATGGGTTAAAGATGAAAATTAAAATCCTCGGGGCCTCTTGTATAGACAAAATTGCAAAATAAATGTAAAAATGTATAGCCAATTCTGACCTTGCATGTTATTTATAACGAAAACTAAAGTGTGAAATAATCCTGGGAACATTATTAACTTTCAGCATTTTGCCATTTTACCGACATTTGTTTAAAAAATTATAGATTTGCGGCATTTTCCCAATGTTCCTATTTATCATTTATAAAGCATATTCCTTATGGAGTTAAATTGAAAATATCTTACATTCATGGACATCCTTGATGTACTAGTCCTAGTATCTTTAGACAATTATGGATTTATGAAGATTATGCCATTTTCTGGGTATTCGAGTTTTATTAACGTTCACCATATGATACGCACACAACTTAATATAAAAAACTACCAAAAACAAATTTCAATTGCACCTAATTAGTTACGCTAGTCGATTTAAGAAATGCTTATTGCTTTCATCAAAACGTATGAACTATAAATTCAATAAAAAAAAACAGTTGTCAATTTCAAAGTGATACCGTTTCCCTTTTTCAATAACTATTTCATTGAACAAAAAGTTTTAAAAATAATATTCATTACTATGGTCTCGAAAGTAGCAATTTGGCATTTCTCTCTCAAGTCTTCCTGTCATCTCTTGAGGGTGCCAGAGATTCATCAGATTCCCTAAATACCCCCAAGGTTGAGAATCCTACAATGGTCTATGGACATACCGTTTATAATGTGGTCGCCTGTAGTAAGAACTGCATCTTGGCTGAAGTCGAGGCCGTTTATATTTCCACTATTCATGGCCGTAGCTATAGTAGCCTCGTCAAAGTGATAGTTGCCAGATATGACGTCACTGGAGGACATTTTTATCATGTCATTCCATGGTATTTCATTCACTCTGGGATTGGTAACATTTCCTTCCACGCTAAGATCACCACGGTAGGCGATATTACCTGTAGAAACCACATAGATGTATAATGAGTAAGGATACATTTTACTTTCATTTTCATTATTTAGTTTTATCCTGAGGGTAATAATTTGCTTATTTTACCTGATAAAGTAAAGTCACCCGAGGTCTTAACAACAGACTCATTCAGCAGCTTCAAGTCTACGTTATTTATGAGTTTTACGTCTGCGTTGCCCTCGACCTTGACGGTACTTAGAGTATAGTCCCCTCTCAGGATCTGGGTTGTTTGCACTGTTGTGTACACGGTGCGATTCGACAGGTCAGCTAAATCAACCTGCGGAAATCCAATGGAAGCTCTTCAGCTGTAAGAATACTACGTGCAATATACCAGCTAATAAACAGGTTTTGAATACATACACCATTGACCAAACTAGCATCCAGTGTCTCAGTCACAGTTAAATTCTGGAAGGTTTTCACAGAGGTGAAGGTGGCGTTAGCGTCCTTTACAACCATGTGTTCCGTATCTATTCCGTTAATGAGCATGGACACGCCACTGTCGGAGTCGAGAGCTGACGCATGGATGTGGTCATACGCATGGTGCCCGGTCACTTCCTGGGAGGCGGCATTCTTCAGCATAAACTCTGGAATGAATAGGTGAATCCAGGTGAAGTCCTCACGTCTTGCATTATTCACAAGCATAGTATTCGCTATGGTTTGTATACATATTACGCAAGCACAGACAGATGGCAACAGATGGCGCATCCAAAAAACTTTTGAATATGATTATATATATATATATATATATATATATATATATATATATATATATATATATATATATATATATATATATATATATAGTCAATACCGATATGAGCACAAGACCGATGAATATCAAAGTAACAAACTCACGGTCGGAGTAGACGCCGTTGATGGAGGCCGCTGGCAACTCCGAGCGCGTGACAAAGCGTTCCGCGTTCATTGTGCGGAGTGAAAGGACTGAACTGACATTCTGGTCAATTCCGTCCATCATGAACACACGGTGGATGTTCAGGAGTGGCACATCATTTAACTGTGAGAGTAGTAGTTGTAATGAGTAATAATTGGAAAATATTACTCAGCTCTGGCAATGAAACTTTTGTAATGGTTTCACTTCGTTTCACTTAATGTTGTATATTAGAGTGCATTTGCCCCTGGGGTGACCGGAATCACACTTTGCAGTAAACTGGGTTGGTTATGTATTTTTTTGATGGGCAAAGCCCTTCAACAGAATTGGAACAAGGAAACTTAAACATTACATTTCTAAGGATAAAAAGTACTTGCCAAATGTAAAAAGCCTTACAAACTAAGATGCAGCATGGGGCAGGTAAACAACTACATTTAACCCAATGGTGCCGGGGAAAATGAACAAAAATCGGGAAAATATTTTGCCCATTTTCTATGTTTTTCGTGAAATGTCTGCCGATAGATGGCTCTGCTAGCGCCTGATTTAAATGGCGGGAAAAACGTATTTTTCACTAGTGCTATGAAAATGGATGGTGTTATTTTTATCATAAACATTATAATTTTTTTTTAACACTAGTAACAGCAAAATAAGATTACGTAAAATATTTTGTAAATCAATGAAACGGGTAAACGGGCGAGACGGGCGGTGCTCGTAACTGGCTCATTGGGGAGTTAGTACAAGTGTTGCCATCTATACCTAAAATCAATCAAACAAGTACTCACTGTGGGCATAGCACGTACGTACACGTCATACCCGGCACCAAGGGGTTAAAGAAAATTAAGTGGATGGGACACTACAGTATAGAACGCCAAGTGGGCCGAGGCGAAACAAATTCTTAATATCCATCACCAGGTTAGTAAAAACTGCAATGGTTTCCCTTCGCCCCACATTTTCCGTCTATAACATTCCCCCAAGATGCCAGCTTAATTAACGAAAAACATCACTGAACACTAAGATTACCACATTAGAACTGATGAGAGTGATTTC